TACAACCCTTGATTGCATGTCCTGTATTTCCGCTTCTATAACACCTGCTTGAAAATCTAATCCTCCCTTCGCTTTTTTTTTTTTTTTTTATAATAAATATTTATTAATTTTTCAATTCATATACAAGTCATTTCAACATTTCTATTAAAATAATTATCAAAAACGTATTTTCTCCTTACATAATTTATTCCTATATATGACTTTCTTTTCTTACCATCCCCCCCTCCCCTCCCCCCCCCCCCCCCCCCCCCCCCCCTCTATCTCCCCATCCCCTCCCCTCCTTCCCTCTCCTCCCACGCTCCACATTCTCTCTTCTCTCATTAACTCCATATAATTTCTGTTGTTCCTGAATCCAATTCTAAACTGACTTCCAGGGACATTATCTCTTCATATATTTCACCATTTCTCTATATTCTTCCCATCCTTTCCATTTTTTATTATACATCTCCAACTTGTCCTCGTGCATATAATACAATCTTTCTGTCCCGGAAATCTGATTTACTCTACCCATCCAATCCTCCTCAGTTGGCACCTCTCTTTTCTTCCAGTACCTGGGGATCAGGCTCTTTGCTGCGGTTAAGTAATGCCATATCCCTGAACTCTTATATGCTTTCACTGAGAGTTCTGAGATATGGAGGAGGCATAATTCTGGATCTAATCCTATATTGATTTTAGTAATTTTCCCTATCAAATAAACTATCCTTCGCCAGAACACCTGTATTTCTGGACACTCCCACCACATATGATACCACGTGCCCACCTCTCCACAGCCTCTCCAACACATCTGTGAAATTTCCGTATTCATCTTGTGCTCCAGGTTGGGGGTAATGTGCCATCTATTCAAACACTTATAATTTATTTCTACTTCTCTCATACTAATATTTTCGTGAATTAATGTAAACATTTTCCTCTTCTCCTCCTCCTCTATTTTTCTTCCCATATCTCTTTCCCATTTCTCTATGTGCATTAATTTTGTGTCTGTGTCAAGTTCCATTAATATCTTGTGTATTTTTGCCGTTCCGTGTCTACCATTTCCCCGTGACTCAAATATTCTCTCAAATGGATTCCAGTCTTTTCTAGTTCTTATAGGCTTTGGAAGGCTTTCAAAAAAATTCTTCAGTTGGTAATATCTTAGTCCATCCATCTTATTAAAGACTTCACCCTTTCTTTCCTCCATATCCTTGTATGACCCAATTTCCTCTCCTACCATTATATCTCTCAGTTGCGCCTCCTGTTTTATAATCCATTTCCCTGCTATGCTATCGTTACCCGGGATGAAATATTTTGTGTTCCTAAGTGGTATTAATTGTGAATTAAAAACCCACCCCTTTTGTCTGTGTAATAAATCCCATTCTTTTAAAACATTAAGAGTGTACGTGCTTGTGCTCTCCTCTAATTCTCTGTATTGTGCAGGTACCCAGATACTTTTACTTAAACTTATTCCACTCTCAATTCAGTGCTTTCTCAATTTTAACCCAACTTTTCTCCGGATTATGAATCCAGTTGAAGATTCTCGCGATAATCCCCGCTTTGTAATATCTCCTAAAATCTGGTACCCCCAATCCTCTTTCTTTACTTCTAGTCAACGTTTCATCACCTATTCTAGGCTTTTTATTCCTCCATATACATTTTATTATCATTTTCCTCAGTTCTTTAAAATATGCCTCTGGGAGTTTGATTGGGATCATTTGAAATTTGTATAATACTTTGGGGACAATTACCATCTTTATCAAGTTTATGCGACCTATCCACGATGGGTTTCCATTTCCCACTCTCCTCAGCTCCTCCTTAATCTCATTTAATAATGTTATATAATTGGCTTTATAAAGGTTCTTAATTGAGGCTGATAGTTTTATTCCTAGATATTTTAATTCTTTATCTCTCCAAAGGAAAGGGAATTCCTCTTGTAGTTTTTCCTTTTCGCTGTTTTTGAGATTTATGTTTAAGATTTCGGTCTTTGTCGGGTTAATTTTCAGGTACGACAGGTCTCCGTACTCCCTCAATGCTTTCATTAAATTTGGAAGTGATGTTCTAGGGTTTCCAACATAAAACATCAGGTCGTCCGCATAAGCCACTACCTTATGTCTCTATCACCTATCTTTATTCCTTTTATGTCTATGTTCTTCCTAATCATGGACAGTAAGGGCTCCAGTGATAACACATATAACAATGGAGACAATGGACATCCCTGTCTTGTACCATTTGACATCTTAAAATACTCTGATCTTCCTCCATTTACCATTATGGTAGCGGTAGGCCCTCTATATAACTCTCCAATCCACCCTCTCATTCTATCTCCCATTCCTAACGCTTCCAAAGTGTCCATCATAAAACCCCAACTTACTCTGTCGAATGCCTTCTCAGCATCTATTGACATCAGTATCATTGGGGTTTTCCCTTTTTTACCCTCCTGTATAAGCAACAGTGATCTCAAAGCATTACCTCTACCCTCTCTTCCCGTGACAAACCCCACCTGGTCTCCATGTATCCACTCCGGCATCAGCTCTTTCAGTCTATTTGCCAGAACCTTTGCATATATTTTAGTGTCTACATTCAACAGCGCTATTGGACGATAACTCGCACATTGCGAGGGGTCTTTATCTTCCTTCTGTATCAATACTATATTAGCCTGTAAAGACTCTCCCCTTATCTCCATCCCATTCCCCAAGGCGTTCATGTAAATCTTCATTTTGGGTATTAAAAGCTCTTTATATTTTTTATAGTATTTAGCCGTATACCCATCCGGACCCGGGCTTTTCCCTCCCGCCATGCTTTTTAACGCTATTTTTATTTCCTCTGAAGTTATTTCTGCCTCTAAAGAGTTCTGTTGTGTTTCTCCTAATTTCCGTAGGCCTGCCTTCTCTAGGTATGTCTTTCTTTTCCCTCTATTTACTGTTTCCGTTTTCTTAAACGTATCCTGAGGTATGATATTATACAGCTCATTATAATACTCTTTAAATATTCTAGCAATATCCTTGGTTGAGTGTACAAATTCCCCTTGGGATTTCTTATTTTCTCAATATAATTTCTATTTTTCTTCTTTCTTAAAGTTCTCATTAAATACTTTCCCGGCCTATCTCTCCATCTATAACTTTCACTTGTTATTTTATTAAAGACTCTTCTTTTTTCCTCCTCCATTACATTTTCTAATTCTTCTTTCTTCTTTATTAACATCTGCATTATCTCCTTAGATCTTTCCCTTTTATGCACCTGTTCAAGATCATATATTTCATTTAATAATCTATTTATCTTTTCTCTCCTTTCTTTTTTCTTTTTTGCCTCCATTGCAATGAGTAGACCTCTGATGTAAGCTTTATGTGCTTCCCACACCGTTGCAACCGACACATCCTCTGTTTCATTCTCTTCAAAAAACTATTCAATTTCCCTCTCAATTCTTTGACCAATCTCTTCATCCATGAGAAGTGCCTCATTCAACCACCATACATAACCTTCTCTCCCCTCTCTACCCCATCTTAACTTCATTGCAACTGGGGCATGATCAGACAGGGTGCTTCCTTCAATTTTTACTTCTACCACCAACTCTATCATTCGATGTTCTACTAATATGTAATCTAGTCTAGAATAAGTCTCATAAACATGCGAAAAGAAAGTATAATCTCTCTCCTTCATATTCCTAATTCTCCAGATGTCCACCAGCTGACACTCATGCAACAATTTCTTTAACATTCTCAAGGACTTGCTTTCCTCCCTCCTCACACAGGAAGTGGTGTCCATCCGCGGGTCCATACAGATGTTAAAGTCTCCCGCTACTATCATACACCCCCTTTTAAAATCCATCAATCTCTTCAACACTTCTCTCATAAACCTCTCCGGCCTCTTATTTGGACTGTATATGTTTGCTATTGTACACTCAATTCCCTGTAATTTACCTCTCAAAAATAAAAACCTTCCCTCCAGATCCGTTAATCTCTCCTCCACCTCAAACCTTATATTCTTTGCAAAGCCTATAGCAACTCCTTTTGCTCTTTTAGTTGGTGAGTCCGCATAAAACCATGTTGGAAAATATCTAGTCCTCAATCTAACCTTCGACTCTATCTCTAGGTGTGTTTCCTGCAAAAATACCACTGAGGATTTTCTATGTTGAAGTTCTTTAAATAACCTAAATCTCTTTCCTGGACAGCTTAACCCTTTTACATTGTAGGTTATATATTGGATTTCTTCCATCTTACTCTTCTCCTGCTGACTCCTTCTTCCTCCTTCCCTTCCTCTTTCTTATTCCTATAGAGCGTTTTTATCCCACTACACTTTTCTCTCCCCTTATCCCCCCCCCCCTCTCTCAGTACTCCCCTCAATCCCTTTCCTCTCCCTCCCCTCCTTCCCCCTCCCTCGCCACCTCTCCCCCCCCCCCCCCCCCCCCCCCCCCCTCTTTTTTAGGCCTTCACTTTGCCTAACCATCATTTGTGGAGATAGCATCCACCTTTGACTTAATCCTTAGGGCTACACTCCTCCTATGGACAGCCTCCCCTCCCTCCGGATCTCCCCATTATTGACCCCCTTTCTACTTATACTTCTAAAGAAAGAAAAAGGAGTTAAGCTAGAGGGACAAGGGAGGAAAAAACGATAAAATGGGAGCAAGGAGAGAGAAAAAAAAAAAAAAAAAAAGACTTCTCTCCCCTCCACTCTCCCTCCCCTACCTCCCCCCCTCCACCCGTCTCCACTCCTCCCCTCTTTTTGATCTATTTCCCCCAGATTCTTCTTCCCAACCATTAATTTCAATTCTCTGCATTTCAAGTCTATCGCAAAAATTTCTCAAGTCCTCTGGGAACCTCAAATGGGCTGTTATTCCGTTTTTCCATCCTATTAAACACTCCGGTACCCCCCATCTATATTGCACCTTCTGTTTTTTCATCTGCTCCAGCAAAGGCCTCAGAGCTCTCCTCCTCCGGAGAGTCTCTGATGACAAGTCCGCATATATTTGGATATCCATTTCTCCATATTTTATTACTGGTTTTCCCTTAGTTTTCCTCCAGGTTCTTTCCCTTTGCTGCAGTTCATAAAAGTTAACAAGTATGTCTCTCGACCTGTCCTTCTCATGGTTCCCCTGGAGTTTCCCATTTCTAGAGATTTCTTCTATATTAGTCCTTTCCATTTCAGAGTTTCCCATTATAAAGTTCAGTATTTTGCAAACCACCTCTTCCAATATTTCTCCTTTTAAACTTTCCGGTACCCCTCTTATCCTTATATTTTGTCAGGGCTCCAAGGTATGACCAGAGGTATGTGAACTGACGCAGGGAAACGCAGGCTTCAGATATGTTATAAACAATAAGACAATTTATTAAAGACTAACAATACAAACATAAACGCAGTGCAATACTAAAACATAACACAGTGCAAACGAACCAAACCAAACCACCCACAGATAACAGTACATACAATGCAAGCGTCGTCAGGCAGGCCGGGTCAATAACAATCGGGCAGGTAGGTACAGGGGGTCAGGAAGAGAATGGTCGGGGTCACAAGCCAGGGATAAAACAGGAGAAGTCAGCAGAGGTCCGGATCAGGCAGGGTCAGCAACGAATCAGACAGAGACAGGGACAGGAACAGGAACAGGGATGCAGGAACAAGATACAGGGCCTAGGAAAAACATACACCAAGGCAGAGACTGCAGGTCTGGCCATCCCTTAAATACACCTGCATAATCAACTTCAGGTGTTTGGCTGGCTGCAGGGTTGAGTCTCTGATTGCTGGGAGTGCCCGCTGGCCAGCCCTGGTACTGCAGCCCACAAGGCAGGTGAGTCCCACCATTACTGGCAAGTCCATTCCTGACAGTACCCCCCCCCCTCAAGGAGCGGCCTCAGGACGCTCCAAACAGTCCTAGCTGGGCAAAATGTTCCACCGGGTCTGGTAACTGGCGGGATATCAAAGACTGGCACATCGGGCGGGACTCCGGGCAGCGGCACACCGGGCAGGACTCCGGGCAGCGGCACCTGGCCAGGACTCCGGGCAGCGGCACACCGGGCAGGACTCCGGGCAGCGGCACCTGGGCAGGACTCCGGGCAGCGGCACACCAGGCAGGACTCCGGGCAGGAGTCCGGGCAGAGGCACATTGAGCAGGACTCCGGGCAGCGGCACACTGGGCAGGACTCCGGGCAGCGGCACATCGGGCAGAGGCACATCGGGCTGGACTCCGGGCAGAGGCACATCGGGCTGGACTCCGGGCAGAGGCACATCGGGCTGGACTCCGGGCAGAGGCACATCGGGCTGGACTCCGGGCAGAGGCACATCGGGCTGGACTCCGGGCAGAGGCACATCGGGCTGGACTCCGGGCAGAGGCACATCGGGCTGGACTCCGGGCAGAGGCACATCGGGCTGGACTCCGGGCAGAGGCACATCGGGCTGGACTCCGGGCAGAGGCACATCGGGCTGGACTCCGGGCAGAGGCACATCGGGCTGGACTCCGGGCAGAGGCACATCGGGCTGGACTCCGGGCAGAGGCACATCGGGCTGGACTCCGGGCAGAGGCACATCGGGCTGGACTCCGGGCAGAGGCACATCGGGCAGGACTCCGGGCAGAGGCACATCGGGCTGGACTCCGGGCAGAGGCACATCGGGCTGGACTCCGGGCAGAGGCACATCGGGCTGGACTCCGGGCAGAGGCACATCGGGCTGGACTCCGGGGAGAGGCACATCGGGCAGGACTCCGGGCAGAGGCACATCGGGCAGGACTCCGGGCAGAGGCACATCGGGCAGGACTCCGGGCAGGACTCCGGGGTATGACCAGAGGTATGTGAACTGACGCAGGGAAACGCAGGCTTCAGATATGTTATAAACAATAAGACAATTTATTAAAGACTAACAATACAAACATAAACACAGTGCAATACTAAAACAAAACACTGTGCAAACGAACCAAACCACCCACAGTAACAGTACATACAATGCAAGCGTCGTCAGGCAGGCCGGGTCAATAACAATCGGGCAGGTAGGTACAGGGGGTCAGGCAGAGAATGGTCGGGGTCACAAGCCAGGGATAAAACAGGAGAAGTCAGCAGAGGTCCGGATCAGGCAGGGTCAGCAACGAATCAGACAGAGACAGGGACAGGAACAGGAACAGGAACAGGGATGCAGGAACAAGATACAGGGCCCAGGAAAAACACACACCAAGGCAGAGACTGCAGGTATGGTTATCCCTTAAATACACCTGCATAATCAACTTCAGGTGTTTGGCTGGCTGCAGGGTTGAGTCTCTGATTGCTGGGAGCGCCCGCTGGCCAGCCCTGGTACTGCAGCCCACAAGGCAGGTGAGTCCCACCATTACTGGCAAGTCCATTCCTGACATATTTCTCCTTCTTTCTCTATTCTCTTGAATTTCCGCCTTGTACTGCAATTTTTCCTGAGCTTTTTATATATTGATTATCTTCTTCTCTAATTCGGAAATAATCTGGGTCTGATTTTTAACTTTCTGCTCCGTTTCTTCCACTCTTAGCAACAACTGCCCCATGTCATTCCGAATATTTACCATTTCTTGCTTTATTGTTCTCTCCAGATCTTTAAACATTTCTGTGATCTCTTTTTTATTTGGGATTTGTAGATCTTTTTCTATCTCTGATATTTGTTGACTACTGATATCCAAGTCCATTGATTGTTTAGGACTATTTTGCATACTTAAATCAGACTCTCCTTTGTCATTTCTGCTCTGGGGCCTTTCTGGGGTCACATTTCCCTGGGATGTGTACTTTTTAATTGTCCCCGTTTGGGTCCCTTTAGGCCTGGTTCCTTTTGCACTTTTATTTTTCATTTCTTCTGTATCTTTTATTTTTCTCTCATAAACTTGTGCTTTACAGAAAGAAGAAACTAATAAGGTAAAGAGATAGAAATCCCAGCTCTGTCTGCCCACCTTTCTGTGTGCCTTTGCCTGCACCTTGCGTTTTTCTCCTTATTTATATTCTCTGGGGGTCCCCCCCTTTTCTCTCTCTCCCTGCTTTCCTCCAGCTCTATACAGTTTTTATGTTTGGGGCCACCGCCAGACTCACTCACCCTTCCTGCGCTTCTCGTGAGACGGCTCCAGGCTCCATCCTCCAGCTCCTTCAGTAGGTCAGCTCTCTTCCTCTCAGGGGGACCCTCCAGGACTTTCCTCCACTCTCTTCTTCTTTGTTGGGCAGGCTCACCATCAACCCCTCGCCAGGGCTCCAGGGGTGGCTGGTCGTCTGACAGGATGGTATTTCTCCTGCTCACTGTCAGCCTCCGACCGGGCGGGCGGCTTCCTTGCCTCCCAGGGATGCACCGCGGCCGGTCACGTGTCCCGGCCGCGCCTCCTTGTTTCCCGGCAACCAGGCTCAGCGTCCCCGCCTCTCTCTGTTGGTCTCCGTTCCCGACTCTTCTTCCCGCGGGCAGCCGCTCAGCCAAGGGAGCCAAGTGAGCCCGCCCGGTCGAGGTAGGTCTCTACCTTCTAGGGCTCCATGCTTCAAGGGGGGAGTTTAAGGTCCAAGGGGGATTGGTCGGAGGAGCCCCGTGCGGGAGCTCCTACCACAAGCTCTCCGCCGCAGCCATAGTCAGGCTCCGCCCTTTCCCCTCCCTTCGCTTTTGACTACTCAGAGATTCTTTTGTGATCAGTCTCCTGAACCCAGTCCCTCAAATACATTTGTAAATGTTTGGTATGACTTGGCATTTCTCAGTGCGATCCTTGTATGGTAATCAACACATGTGCACTTATTAGCCATATAATACAGAAAACTACTGTTGTCAGGAGGCATATCAGGACAATTGTAAGTGGTTTTATGAATGGAGAAATATTCACTACAAAAGAGTATTGGATCACTTCCTCTCCTAAATTTGGTATTCTCTAGGGCATCAGACCCTCCCTTCCCCCCATTATGTGATGCAACTCCCTCGTTCTATCTGCCGAGTTTCCCCAATTTGAGTTAACCTCAGGAGATAGACCTCTGTAACTAAAGACTGGGGCCTGTAGCTTTTCACACAGTTGTAATGGAAGCCACCCATGAAGGAGTGCACATGCATCCTTATTGTTCAAGGTATACTGTGTCACCACAGCTTCCAGCCTGTTTGAGAGGCTAATGGGTGAAGCATTAGTATCAAATTTCCCCAAAATCTGGCATGGATTTGTGCGATCTTGTATAGAGAGTGCTGTGGATTAGGTGCTATTATCACTTCGTATAGTCCCTAATCTTTGCCCAGACCTTTCTGGCGCAGGAGTAAAGAGAAAAGAACTCTGATATGGGGATTGTTCAGGGTTGTCAGCCGAATATATTGGCTGCTGTTCCCCTAGCAGCCTGTTTCCTTGCTCCTGTGTCATCCAGGTATATGTATCCTTGTTAGCACAACAATGGTTATGTACTTTATCCATTACCTGTGTTTTCAAAGATAGAATAGCATGATCATTTGGGCTAGCTAAGCTTTAGACTCATGTAACTCTCTCTTAAGTATCTCCATAGCATTTTCACTCCCAGCCTCTCTCTGTTCCAAAGGCGTGATACACTGTTCTCTCAATTTACATGTTTCTTCCAATTCCTCCAATCTCTGTTCCAACACACCATTCTCAGTTACCAGATGCTCAATCTCATCCCTCAGCTCATCACACTCACAAACATTCACCTCTGCATTTGCAGCTATATCTGAAATACCTTTCTTCACACTCTCCATTTGATCTACCAACTGTGCTCTTTCTGCATACCACTGAATTTCTTTCTTTTTGGCAATCTCCTTCATTCTTACCAGCATGCCAACCACATTCGCCATCCTCCCTTTCTTGCCTTTATTAGATGATGGTTTACTTTTCATACTAGCATTTTGAACCTTACATTGCTTTAACAAATCATTAAATTGATGGGTCAACGCATCTTCTGTGCAACTGCTAAAAGTAGCAGAAGCATGTTTTCTCAAGAAGATGTTCAACAAACTCCATTGATATGCTAACTATGACTAGTCTGCACACCAGCAGCTGCTGAGACAATTAGCACAACACAGACACAGACAGACACACACACACAGACAGACAGACACAGCTGTTTCAAAGCTAAGCTGGGATCTTTAGTCCTACAAAGAGAACCACACTATCAGTGTTTTAATTTCTCCTACACAACTGACTGTAACCCTCATACACAGATCCTCACTGGGATCTCTGATCTTAGGCCACGAGTAATTCTCTGTTGAAGCAGAAAGCTACTTCCCTTTCACATGCATAAAACTATAAATACAATCTATATTTCTCCCACTTTCTTCTCAAAGATGTCTTGTTTATCCTATAGCTCTACGGGGTACATCAGTTAGCCAAGGGTGATCAGCCCTTCACTTGCCGGCACACAACTGAACAGTTAAACAGGCCTAAAACATATGCATCAACAATATTATCATCCTCACCAAACCATAAATACATTGCTGAGGATGTTACACAGCTCATTTAATTCATACTTACATACAACTACTTTGCCTTCAATAAAGACATCTATCTTCAATGTATGGGTACTGCGATGGGAAGTAAAGTGGCACCCCGATATGCCAATTTATATATGGCTGACCTGGAGGAAAAATTCCTGAACAGCATGGAACAAAAAACATACAGATACTATCGCTATATTGATTATATTTTCATCATATGGACAAAAGGTGAAGAACACCTAAAACAATTTTACTCATTGATCAACACTTTTCATCCATGAATCAAACTAAAAATGGAATACTCAAACACACACGTCAACTTCCTAGACACCACAGTATACATCAGGGATGATACGCTTCACACCTCAATATACAGGAAACCCACTGACAGATGCAAATACCTCCACAGTTCTAGCTTCCACCCCCAACACACGAAACGTGCCATCATACACAGTCAAGCCATTAGATACCACCGAATATGTTCTGACCCAAGAGACAGAGATACACATCTTGGGACACTAGCAGACTCCTTCCATAAGAAATGTTACAAGGACAAAACTATCAACACCAGCATAAACACAGCCTTGAGAACCCAAAGAGATAATCTACTTCAGTACAAAGAGAAAAAAACAAACAGCCGTGTACCTCTAGTAACCACATACAACCCAGCACTAGAAGGAATAAGAAAAAATAATCAAAGATTTACAAACCCATCATAACAGAGGATGGAACTCTGAAATAAATATTCCAGCAACCCCCAATACTGGCCTTCAGACAACCCTCCAACCTCAGAAATAAACTAATCAGTAGGAAACTTCCTTCTGATTATGAGGTCACAAATAATGGAAGCAAACCCTGCAATAAAAAACGCTGCAAACTGTGCAACCAAATCAATCCATCAAAAAGTGTCACACACTCAAAAGGGATGTACAATATCTCCAGATCATACAGCTGCACCTCCAGTAATGTTGTGTACCTTATCCAGTGCAGAAAATGTAGCAAAGGATCTTATGTTGGCAAAACAGGACAGAAGTTGCAAACAAGGATGAATTTGCACAGACATACCATCAAGGAACATAAAGAAGATGACCTTTGAACACCTGTGGGACACCATTTCGCACAACCAGACCACATTATGGAAGACCTCAATGTTTTAGTTCTTAAAGGAAATTTCAAATCCATTCAGGACAGAAAAACTTTTGAACTAAGAATGATAATTCTATTTGACACAAGAGATAACGGCCTTAATTTGGACATGGGATTCCTCACTCATAATCCAACAGTTTTATGACTCCCTCTGTGAGTGTTGTTCTCCCCCTTCCCCCCCCCCCCCCCCCCCAGTCTTTGCTTTTGCTTTGCTGTGTCTTATCTCTAGGCTAACCTTAGGCTTGTGTTTCTTTCTGCTTTTTTTTTTCTCTCAATCCCCACATATCTTCTAACATTCTGCTAAAACTTTGTAACAGTACTGCTTGGACCTTGAAGAAGGGGACACTCCCCGAAAGCTTGTCCTCAAAATTGTATGTTAGTGCAAATAAAAAAAGTATCACGGACAGTACTGAATTGTTTCTGTCGCAAGTGCACTAATACGGCTACAATAACCTCAAGCAGAGTATGTAGGAATAATAGAAAAGATACGTTACATAAGTTTGTCCTCAAAGCTGAGTATCTTTTAGCTGGTCCTAAGTCAGACCGGAAAGAGACCAGAAACATAGCCAACACTATATTTAAAGGCCCTCTCAAGCACTACCCATACACACACCCTTGACCCACCTGGTGTAGTTCTCCATCCAATGAGCAAGCGTCTATAACTCATAAGGGGCTGCCCTTCTTGTTCATTGGGAAGTGTAGGATTACTTCCGGAAGCAGGTCATCTCCACCAGGGGGCACTGCTGTATTGCCAACAACGCTCCACCAGGGGGCACTGTTGTATTGCCAACCATGCTCGGACCCAGGTCAATCACTTCTGGCTAGAAGCCATAAAATCTGTCTTTTTATTACTCCTGTTGCTGGTGAGTCTAGGCTGAGGCTCTCTTATCTCCACCACTAGAGGGGAAGTGTGAACTCCCAGGACAAGGATTTCAGTATGCAGCCTTTTGTTACACCCATCCTGTCATAAATACTTGCTTCTTTTGACACTCCAAG